TTACATTGTTCAATATTTTAATTTGTGTTGTAGACACGTAAACAATTTCTAAATAAAAGTTATATGAATTTCAAAAATAGGTATTTTAAACATATTTTTAGATATATAGGGTTTTGCGTTTTTGTCTGACAAATAAAACGGTATATTTTTTAAGTAGAAAATCCTGTATTTTACTTCAGTTTTAGAATGTATTTAACCCTAGAATTTTATTAACAAATATTGCAGGGTTGCCAATAAATTAATTTTTTTATGAAATTAGAGAATGATTCAGACCCCAAATTAAATTATCATTATTTAGGTAGGTTTAAAATAATTTCAAATTTTTTTAAAATGTAGTAATAAGATACTAAGCTAACAAATAGTGATAATAGAACTGGATTATTTTATACAGTGTGTTTTGAAAAGCAAGTCTTAAATATGGCAAATCCAAGTTAAATTTATTTAATTTTTTTCAAATGCCACACCCTGTATATTATTTAAGCATAAAATTCCTTATAAGTAAACATATCCAACGATACCAATAAGTTAGTCAATAACACATATACAGGGTGTCCCATTAGTGCGTAATTGATCGATAGCAGTTTTATAATAGAAAATACGAAAAAAAATTAATATAAAAGTTGTATGACCATATTTAACAATTATTTATAAAAATACAGGGTAATCCATAAACGATTGTCTGACCAAACCTATACATTTTTAAAGCAAAAGACCCTGCAGGTAGTTATACATATTTGACTGTTTTCACATCGTCGAACAATAATTTCAATTTTATTCATTTGCTATGTTGTATATAGGGTGTGTCAAAATGGTCACGATTTTCTCAATTTTAGAATGGAACACCCTGTATGTTATGCCACCAATTAATATAATATTCCATTGAAAAAAATTTAAACATTTGTAACCTCGCGTGTTGACACACCCTATATATAACATAGCAAATGAATGAAGTCAAAATTATTTGACGACGTGAAAACAATCAAATATGTATAACTACCTGCAGGGTGTTTAGATTTAAAAATGTATAGGTTTGGTCAACATCTCGTTTATGGACCACCCTGTATATATAGGAATAATTTTTAAATATGGTCATACAACTTTTATATTATTTTTTTTCTTATTTCCAATAATAAAACAGCTATCGATCAATTACGCACTGATGGGACACTCTGTATATCTGTTATTCTCATGTTAGTATCGTTGGATATGCAAATTTATAAGGAATTGTATGCTAAAATATTATATCGGATGCTGCCTTTGAAAAAAATAGAGTAATTTGACTTAAAAGTAACCATATTTAAGACACATGTTTCCAAACACTCGCTATAAAAGAATCCAGCACTATCACTACTATTCGTTATCTTAATGTGCTATAAGTCAGTGTATTAAACAATTTTGAAATCAATGTAATCCTACCTAAACTATGATAATTTAATTTGGGGTCTGCATCATTCTCTAATTTTATAAAAATTTAATTGCTTGGCAGACCTGTAATATTTTTTTAAATTATTCTAGGGTTAAATACAGTATTACCAAACCATTCTAAAATTGAAATAAAATACATATTCTATTTTAAAAATATGCCAAGCAAAAATGTAACACCCTGTATATATCCAAAAATATTTTTAAAATATGTATTTTTTAAATCCATATAACTTTTCTTTGAAACATGTTTGCGTGTCTTTAACATAAATTAAAATATTAAACAATTACGCACTAATGGGACATACACACGGGTACATACACATAGCAGTCAACGTGTTAACTCAGAAATAAGATTCCTTATAAAGATAAAATAACATTCAGAAGAAGAAAGCAAAGACCGCCAATATTACGTTCGTATCATACAATGATGCCAGGTCATTCGAATTTAATTTACACCGGAATGCAATAAAGTTCCTTCCCTTTCCTGCATTTCACAATTGTATATTTCACCCACTTTAAAATCAAATTCGTCCTAGAAAGAATTGTGAAATTATCGTATAAATCGATAATCTGGCAACGTAGTCAACACTTGTTCATACACAGGCAAAATCAATCGATAATTTGGAACCAAACGAGACAAATATACAGGGTGTTAAAAAAAAGTATCACAAAATGAAATGGTGAATAGTATGACCCAAAATAAGCAGAAAAGTCTTAATAAATATATGACCGCAAATTAACGGTTTCGGAGATACGGACCATTTTGTGTTTATAACAATTTTTTATTATTATAAAAAAACAATGATATTTATAAACAATCAATAACAACATAGAGTTAAATGAGATGTTCAAAGTGCCCTCCCTCCATTTCAATGCATTGCCATTTGCACGACCGTGCATAAAATGCATGTCAGCTAATTCAATATTAGTGTAAACAGGCATAACGAAAATTTATAAAATTATTCACCCACAACAAAATAATAACTGCAAATAGTATCTATGAAAAAACATCGGTAGACTCCGATAAGAAAAGCAAGTTTTTGAGAATGAAAAAAGATAATCAAAAAATGGTACAAAACACTCCGTATCTCTGAAACCATTCATTTACGGACATATGTTTATTAAGACTTTTCTGCATATTTTGGCCCATACTACCCCCCGTTTTATTTTGTGACACTTTTTTTTTAACACCCTGTATATATGAAAATCACGAAACAATAAAAGACGGCATACAGCTGTAGCACTGTTTCAAAAATTGGTACCTCAAACAATCATTTACCTATTAAAACCATCTCTAAAACAGAGTAGCTACATTGTTTTTACGATGACATCTTCTTAAAAATAGATGAACTACATGAACTATACACATTTACAGGAATTCATAGAAAATCTCTAATTTGACAAATAAATTTATCAAATATTTGTTAATCGTATTTCCAGTTAGATTTGAAAAATACGCAATAAAATTTAGAAATATTTTGGCGGGATACTTGGAAAAATATGTAGAATGAAATCTCCTACTTTTTATTTAGCCTCTGGTTTTAAAATCACTTTTTATGGTTTTTTTTTTTTTAAATTCAGTGTATAAACAGGACAAATAAAAAATAGGAGATTTCATTCTCCAAACCTTATACTTTAAGCTGGTAGAAGATTAATTTTAATACATTTAGCGGGATTTAAATGCAATCGGAAATGGTGAACCCTTACTTCTTATATGAAAAATACAGTGATACTGCATCCTTATTGCTTTCATATAATTGTATGTATTTTAGATGTGAAGCGACACTTCTCGGTCGCGTCGGCGGTCGTCTGTCGCGCCTACCGAAATGGTACCTTTATAAATGATTATGCAGAAGTTTGAGGAGACCTGTATACACCTGTAATGCCAATGGTCTGTTAATGTTACCATTGTTATAGTGGGTGGTGAAGCCATCTAGGTTAAATTGAGAAATAGATTCTAATTGGAAACATTCAGTCAAAACTATTATATCACAATAATTAATTTTATAACTTTCTAGAAATAGTAACAACTCATCAAAATTCTTTTTAATACTCCTAATATTAAAATGTAAGACATTTAGGAGTTTTTCATTTAAATTAATTTTATTTGTTATATTAGCAGCATCAACGACTTCATTAATCGAATCAATTTGAATAGAATTTAATAGATTATTTTCTTGATTAATAATCATGAACTATTTGAATGTGTGTACAAATATAAAAACACTTTTTTATTACTTTTTTCTTTGGTTCTTTGGCTGTAAGACCTTTCGGTATATACAGGGTATTCCATTAAGAATGGGAGCAATTGAAGATTAACTGATTGGAAATAAGCCGATTAAACGAAACATCCGTAGGTAAAACATTACTCGTTTCCGAAAAACAGGGTTTTAAAGTTGAAAATCAAAAATTATGAATAGCTACAATTTTTTTATTACCCAGTTTAATTTTACTAAATTCGACAAACGTTATTGATGTAATAAAATACACCTATCAACAAGAAAATAAGTTAAATAAGCTTTGCCAGTGGCGTACCTCATGGGCAAGTAACATCTTTTTCCCTTCTAAATTTTAGTCCACTGTCCAAAAACTTTTGATGTTTTTCAAATAAAGTTCAGTTAGTTTTTGAGAAATTCGCACATATTTGAAAATTCTGAAATTTTTAAATTTCGATTTTTTTTAATTAAATTATTATTATTTATTCAAAAAACATCAAAAAATTTAAAATGTTATGTCCAAATAACTTTTTGGATAGTGACGTAAAATTTAGGAGAGATGCGGTATTACGTACGAAGGTATCTAATTATTTTGCTGATTGGTGGATATTATGATACCAAAAATGTTTGCCAAATTTAGTAAAATTCTTATGAGTAATAAAAAAAAATATAGCCATAAATATTTTTTGGATTTTAACACCGTAATTTGAAAACGTGAAACATTTTATCCAAGCATGATTTAGTTGTCTTATTTTTAATCAGAGAATCGTCAGTTGTTCTATGTCCCATTCTTAACGAAATATCATGTATAATATAATAGGTCCCTACGTAATGATACGAAGACCTTTATCCTTTGTTGATTGGACACAAGAATGAACTACTAAGTAAATATGCCGATGTCGCGAATCTAATCCAAAACTTTTATTTAGGTACCTGCTACATCGCGTAGTGGCTAGGGGTGATGAATTTGTTATTTTATAGCAGTTACCGTTTAGAATTAATAAAATTATTACGCCATCTGTTGAACAAAAGAACTATTAAATATGGAATATTGTTCCAACTGTTGAACAAAAGGATTCTTAATCATAAATGACATCTATCAAAATTAGTTCATGTTACGAATATTGGGGGTGATACTGTGGCTTTAATTTGTTTTTTAAAGGCTTGCCACATGGTTTTTATTTATTATTTTTCCTTCTTTGTAGAATTTTTTCAGACATTTTTTAAGTATTGTCTGGTCTATCTGATGGTGTCAATATATCTACAAATTTCAATCAATTTATAATAAACTTTATTTTCAATTAGTAATAATACAATAAATAATTTTAGTATACTCTAAATTATTTCATTTCTGTCCAGATTAAGAGAAGCTAGTGCCATAAATAATTCACTAATGAATCTACGAACCTGTCTGGAAGTACTGAGAGAAAACCAAAGGACAAAAACGAACAAAGTCGTGCCTTATCGTGACAGTAGACTTACATATTTATTTAAAAATTACTTCGAAGGAGATGGCAGCGTACAAATGATTGTATGTGTAAATCCATCAGTTAATGATTTGGAAGAGAACCTGCATGTAATGAAATTTGCCGAAATGACCCAAGGTGTAAAAGTTTTGAAATCCGAACCTAGGTGTATACCTATCAGTACCTCAAAGAAAGTAATATCGAAAAGAAATGGCACACCAGCTAAAATTAATAAGAAGACTTTGTTTTCTCTAACACCTGAAATTCCCATGTTTAAATTTGACTTTAATCAAAGAGATGAATGTAAATCAAGTATCGACAACTTACTGGGTGTTTTAAAACATTTAAAATCAGAAAGTAGTACATCCGAACTTGATAAAATAAATAAAGAGTTAAGAAAACGTCTTGTAGATATAGATAACCATAGAGTATTAGATAAAGCCGAAAATCGCAATCTCAAACAACTACTGCAAAGAGAGCAAACTAAAAATGCTAATTTTGAAACCAAAATTAACCAGATAGAAACAAAATACGGCAATTTATCTGAGAAATACAAAGAATCCCAAGAAATTATTCGATCTTTACATAACACCGTAAACGAAAAAGACTTAAAGTTGAATCAACATTTGTTAGAAAAGGAACATATCAAACAGAAACATGCTTTGGCTAATGAAAAAAAGGACCAAGAACTACAAGATAAATTGAAAAAACAACGCGGACATTTCACTGCAGAAATTTTTGCAAAAGAAATTAAGTTGAAAAAAGCTCGAGAAGCGTTGGATTCCGAAGTAATTGTTAACCCAGAGAATATTCGAGAAAGTGAGAATATACCGCCGTTGTCGACGCCTAAAAAACCGTCTTCATCTGATTGTTATAAAAGAAATGGAGGATATACACCTAGGAGGCGATCTAAATCTTGTGATGAGGTAATTTTAATTTTTTTTTATATATTTTAAGTAGGATTTTTAGTTTTTTTCATGGCAAACTGCAACGACCTCCTAGTGTGTGATTAAATTACCTATTTTGATTGGATTTAATCAAAAATATTTGTCTCTTTTTTTTACAAGCCACAATCTATGTTGCACTATTTTTATTTTGAAATAAATTCATCATAAGAAATAATAAAATTTGTCCCCAAAAAGGTGAAAACACACTAAGGTAAGTTGGGGTAAAATTGGAACAGTTCATCTTTAGGTCTCCACTGTATTAGTATTTCACTTAGAAGAAATCTGAAACTTACTGGGTATATTCTTGGCAATGTAATTTATTATTTTTGTTAAATAAAATAATTTTCTTTGTTTCTTTTACCAGTTTTTATATTATTTTTTTTTTAAATGATGTCAACATATCGCATTTGCCTCATGATTTGGGGTAAATGTGATAACGTCGTCCAAGCGCTTATTGCGATTGGTTAGATAGCCTGTAGGGGGCATTTGTAAAAATTTATAAAATTCTGTGCCTTTTGGTATTTGAAAGGTCTGTTTTGGATAAAAAATAACGCAAATAATAAGTACTAAATTTTTAGTTTTTTCCGATTTTAATACAAAAATAAGGCAAAATATAAAACTTATTTTATATTACTTATATAAAAAATTTGATGTGTCCAACAGGTGACTTTCCTATCTAATTATTATAGACTTTTTCCGGTTATTTTCTACAACCTATTGCAGTACCTCTATAAATGTTTAAAGGATAAACTAAATATATACATTTTCTCAAATGTCTCGAATACGGTCCATTTTAGAGAAATGATGTATAGGATGAAAATTATAGAGGATTATATTACAAACAACTTTTATTTGAACAATTTTTATAAAAATATATACTTTTTTACATTTTGTCAATTTTCTCGAATACGGACTATTTTAGGTAAATTTTGTATAAAACAAAAATTATAGATAATATTACAAGTAACTTTTATTTGAACAATATTCTTCTCCAAACATAGATAACAGATATATTCCATAAAATATAAAAACGGCCTCCCATAAAGTACCCCCCAGATATTCCGACTTTGTCCAAAATCTAATCATTTCACGTCAGACCTAAATGAAACTTAAGTTTAAAATTTAATGTTTTTTCTTTATCCGTTTTTGAGTTTTCTTCAAAATTCGAAATTTACACATTTTCTCAAATATCTCGAATACGGTCCATTTTAGAGAAATTATGTATAGAATAAAAATTACAGAGAATTATATTACAAACAACTTTTATTTAAACAATTTTTCTAAAAAATATTTTTTTTACATTTTGTCAAATTTCTCGAATACGGACCATTTTAGAAAAATTTTGTATGAAACAAAAATTATAGATAATAATATTAGAAGTAACTTTTATTTGAAGAATTTTCTTTTCCAAACGTAAATAACAGATATATTCCATAAAATATAAAAATGACCACCTATGAAGTACCCCCCCAGATGTTCCGACTCTGTCCAAAATATAATCAGATCATTAGACTCTAGAATAAAGCTTAAGTTTAAAATTTGGTGTTTTTCTATTTATCGGTTCATGAGTTATTGTGGATACAGACACACACATACATCATCGCGAAAATAGACAAAACGGATTCAAGGGACCTCAAAACGTCAAAATCCGTGGAAAACTCGAGGTCGAAAAAATAATGATAAGGAAAGTAAAAAACTAGAAAATACCAGTAACAAATCTTTTTTTACTTTCCTATCTGTATACAGATACAAGGAAAGTATAGGAATCATGATTTTTTTCGACGGATTTTTACATTTTGAGGTCCCCTGAATCCGTTTTGACTATTTTTGCGATGATGTGCGTGTGTGCGCGTGTGCGTGTGTGTGTGTGTCTCTGTATAACGCATAACTCATGAACCGATACACAGAAAAACACCAAATTTTAAACTTAAGCTTTGTTTCAGCGTCCAATGAGCTGATTAGATTTTGGGCAGAGTCGGAACATTTGGGGGGGTACTTTATAGGTGGTCATTTTTATATTTTATGGAATATATCTGTTATTTACGTTTGGAGAAGAAAATTCTTTAAATAAAAGTTACTTCTAATATTATTATCTATAATTTTTGTTCTATACAAAATTTTCCTAAAATGGTCCGTATTCGAGAAATTTGACAAAATGTAAAAAAAATATTTTTTTATAAAAATTGTTCAAAGTTGTTTGTAATATAATTTTCTATAATTTTTATTATATACATAATTTCTCTAAAATGGACCGTATTCGAGATATTTGAGAAAATGTCTAAATTTAGAATTTTGAAGAAAACTCAAAAACGGATAAAAAAAAACATTAAATTTTAAACTTAAGTTTTATTTCGGCCTGACGTGAAATGATTAGATTTTGGACATAGTCGGAACATCTGGGGGGTACTTTATGGGAGGCCACTTTTATATTTTATGGAATATATCTGTTATTAATGTTTGGAGAAAAAAATTAATCAAATAAAAGTTACTTCTTATATTATTATCTATAATTTTTGTTTTATGTAAAAATTTCCTGAAATGGTCCGTATTCGAGAAATTTGACAAAATGTGCAAAATTCTGATTTTTATGAAAGTTTTTGAAATAAAAGTTGTTTGCGATATCGATCTCTATAATTTTTGTTTATACATGATTTTTCTAAAATGGACCGTAATGAAAAAATTGTAGGAAATTTTAATTTTTCAGTATTTTCGTTTTCCATGAATATCTATAGAAAAATGTTTCGAGGTAGATGTATGTGGACAATGTATATATTTAGTTTATCCTCTAAACATTTATAGAGATGCTGCAATAGGTTGTACAAAATAACCGGAAAAAGCCTATAATAACTAGATAGGAAAGTCATGTGTTGGACACATCAGATTTTTTGTAATACGTATTAATTATTAGAGATTAAAAGCTTGGAATTGCACTGTGAACTGCACTGCCCCTATTCTGGTTTCTTTTGGTTCAGGAAGAACTTTTATTATGTTTGTACTCTCGACCATTGAAATATCTTCAACGTCATGCCGAAAGAACTGATTTTTTTTTATCTTAAAAATTTGATAAGCCATTCATCAGGGTCTAATTTCTCGATTATTTTGCCAACAAAATGCTTAACAATTTTCTTTGTTGCAAATTGGACCAACACCCACTTATTAATTTCTAAAATTTGGGATTCCTCATAAGTTTCAATGTTCTCACTTTCTAATAATTCAGATATAAACTCCTGAATTATGTAACTTTTGAAATGATAAATGTCCAGATTCACTGGAAGAGCTGGATGCTTTTCTTACCCTAGTTTTTGAATTCGCCGTATCGGTGACATCATCAACAACATCTTGCTTTGGCGCTGTTATAACCTCAGCACCAACCGCTAATTTTTTTTTTGAAATTTTGTTGGAGCTTGATTTTGAGTCACGTATTTTAATAAAGCGGATTCAAGAATCAAGCCCCATGTATAAATTACAGAAATCGGAGACATTAATTCACAAAGTGTCAATAAGGCACAACGATTGGCAAATTCATTATAAGTATGTCACGTGACATTTCCCTTTCAAAAATTAAAGAATCGGTAATATGAAAGATGGTGGGATACCGGTAGTAATGATATGATCATTTCAACTAGATAAGAGTTCAAGGTAAACACCAACAACAACGATCCGTTAATGCCCTTTTGTCTTTGATGGCAATTCTTTCGTTGGAAATGACAGCTAGATGACAGTTCACGCTGAATGCCTTTTTTCCCGTTTGAATCGGACCAACAATAACAAAGATATTAGTTTTAGGCCCTTTTGACCTGTCACTGCGCATGATCTTAACATTTCATATATAGTCACACGTATTATATATCATTTCTTGCGCCAGCGAGCCCCATTGGGGATTTCTCGATGTAAAAATCCGCATACCAGCACGGTGCAAGGTCGCATGTTTTTTATTTCTTACGTCAGCGAGGAAAACTGCCTTCTATTTACTTAGTAACTTTTCTTAATTTCACCATTCCATAAATAATAATAATACTCTCCCTAATTCATCCCCTTACGAGTGAATTTCAACCCATGAAGTCGACTGAATGACTTGTGTAGGGGAAGGGACGGCTATTATTATTTGCCGTGGCGCTCCGGGGCGACTTAAAGATGATTGATGGTGCCATTTGACTTACAGGTGAGGAAAACCTCACCCACCATCATCGAGACGATAATGTATGGCGATTTTATAATCTGCATGTCATATCAATAGAAATTGAATTTTCTATTAATACGGCACACATCAAATCGTAAACCGAACCATGCAATTTAATTAAAAGCCCAGCAGTCTCAGAGTCACAAACTTGCCTATAAATGAATATAAGCGCGTTAGGCCGCTACACTACCGACCCGACATAAAAGCCATTTTATCTGAACAAATAAAAGGGGTAAATGTAATAGCCTGTGGGGTAAATGTAATATAGTATATAACACATTTATCCCGACCTCCTTTTTCCGCGGGCTAAATGTGTTATAGGCCTTCAGAAAAAAAATACAACATGAATCATTTAAAAAATTTATTAACTTTCAAGCACTTACCCGAAAACCATGGATCTGGCGGCTATTTCAAAATACACGTGCTGAATTTGGTTGCTGAGTGAAATAACAAATAACAGCAGTCGACTGAGTCGACCATGCGGCGTCTGAAACCGATCTGAAGCGACTTTTGACGCGTTTGTTTGATTTAAGCGACAACTAGGAAGGGGGAGCTTTCATTTAAGGAGGGAGCGGACGGTTTTCGGTTGATGAAGTAGGAGAGCTGTTGAGCTAACACATTTGCTCAATTTTTACAATTACCCCAACTTACCTTAATGAAAAATTTAAAAAGTGCATGATTTTTATAATTTTCTTATCTGCATACAGACAAGAAAATAAATATATATATTTATGAGCTGTAATTGTTCACATTTTTATTTACATTGTAGGTATGGCTGGAGCATAATTCAATCAAACCTGTTCCCCTTGGAACCGTCCTACAACCTTCTATGAAAAAAAGAAAATCTGTGACGAAACTAACAAAAGCTTCAGATGTAACCAACCCGAAACAATCTAAATACTGTCTTTTAGCTCAAGAACAGGACACAGATGGAGAAATTGAAACTAAACTTTACAAAGGAGATATTTTACCTACTACAGGTGGTGGAGCACAAGTAATATTTAATGATGTGGAACGATTGAGGCAACAATCGCCAACATCGAATGGAAAATAATCACAATTTGTATTGATTTTATTTGTTTTTATCGTACCTATGTAATAGATCAGAGCTGGGAGGAATCCTCAATACGAATCACTGTCAGTATCATACTATGGTATTATGAATGCTTCCGAATCTAATATCAATATCAACTATGTGTATATTACAGATTATGACTTGCAAACAAATCGTCGTTGTTTTGGCTATTGGTCTCGTATCTCAAATTTACGATAATATCCAGGAAGACCTTAATAAGATTTTTCGGTGGAATGAAATGCTTTATTACTGATACATTTTAATGTAAGTTGGTTTGTTTCCTTTGATTTTCTGTTGTACTTTGATCATTTTGGGAGCTATGTACATTGCAGTTTATTTTGTTTGATGTTAAAGATATTTTTTTGCAAGTTTGTGGCGTTAGGACCAATAACTATACAAAAATATGCCATATTATTAATTACAACTCAAAGCCAGAAAAAAAGCACTATATTTTTTATTTCAACATTTATTAGTAGTTAGCAATAATAAAAGCTATTTAATTAACAGTATAACACAACAAAATATAACTGAATATGTTTAACAAAATCAACATTTAGTTTTCATAAGGTAAATTTTGGTAAAATATTTTATATTCTATATTTCTCGTAACTGGCATATCCGATGTACAAAATTAATTTAAATCCCTATATTTTTCTGCACATATTTTATTTGGACTAGAATTGAGAGGTGTTAAGGCGACATTTTGCAAATATTAACAGTCGGTCTTCAGTCTGTTTCAGTTTACAAATCGCGACCGTTCGCGCTGGCATAGTTTGGTCTCTAAAAGGATCCGCGACTAATACTGGTGATTCGAATACGAATCCTTAAGGATTTTCTCGGCGATTCGAATACCGCTCGCTGATCCTCAAAAAAGAATCCTCCCCAGCTCTGTAATGGATATATTATTTATCAGTGAATAGTTATGTAATAAATTTTTATGAATGTTTTTATTTAATATAAGTTATGCAATTTTAAATTGAAATTTATTAATTTATTTCAATATATTACCTTTTATTCTAACAAACATATTAACCTTTTCAGTCACCAATCTACATTTTTTATTTTAAAATTCTGATATTTTGCCAACAAAATAATCTATTTTTTTAAAGACTTTTGGTAAAAATCAGAATTTTGCACATTTTGTCAAATTTCTCGAATACGGACCATTTCAGGAAATTTTGACATAAAACAAAAATTATATTTTATTTGAACAATTTTCTTCTCCAAACATAAATAACAGATATAAAATATAAAAACGGCCTCCCGTAAAGTACCCCCCTAGATGTTCCGACTTTGTCCAAAATCTAATCATTTCACGTCAGGCCGAAATAAAACTTAGGTTTAAAATTTAATGTTTTTTTCTTTTTCCGTTTTTGAGTTTTCTTCAAATTTCGAAATTTATACATTTTCTCAAATATCTCGAATACGGTCCATTTTAGAGAAATTATGTATGGGATAAAAATTATAGAGAATTATATTACAAACAACTTTTGTTTGAACAATTTTTATAAAAAAATATTTTTTTTACATTTTGTCAAATTTCTCGAATACGGACCATGTTAGGAAAATTTTGTATAGAACAAAAATTATAGATAATTATATTAGAAGTAACTTTTATTTGAAGAATTTTCTTCTCCAAACGTAAATAACAAATATATTCCATAAAATATAAAAATGACCACCTATAAAGTACCCCCCCAGATGTTCCGACTCTGCCCAAAATCTAATCATTTCATTAGACGCTGGAATAAAGCTTAAGTTTAAAATTTGGTGTTCTGTGTATCGGTTCATGAGTTATGCGACCTACAGACACACACACAGACATCGCGAAAATAGTCAAAACGGATTCAGGGGACCTCAAAACGTAAAAATCCGTCGAAAACTCGAGGTCGAAAAAAATCATGATTCCTATACTTTCCTTATATCTGTATACAGATAGGAAAGTAAAAAAGGAAATCAAAAATTTCTATCCCCACCCCAATGATTTAATGTCCACATTCGTGGATAATATGACTTTATGAAAATATTTTGTATAAAAACACAGGCATAAAAAAGTTACTTTTATTTCTTATGGAAAGCTAAAAACCAGTTTCTTTCTTTAGATGTACATGGTATTTGATACAGTATACGCGTGTTTTCTAATAAGGAGGCGAATCGGCATGCTCAAAATACGGTCCCAAAAATCACACGACTTAAGTCTCTCGTTGAGAGGAATGTTTTTAAAAAGAATTTATATTACTATTGCTTGAATAAAAACCCAAAATAAATTATATTTAGTTTTTAATGATAATGTTATCGTTACAAGCTGTGATATCAGACTGCCTTTATTTTATTAAAATGTTGCTAGGGAAAAAAATAGAGTCAGCAATTCACGCACAGTTCACATAGGTTCATTTACACTGCCGCACAGTGGCCGAAATTTAAAAATTCTTGGCCAAAATTAAAAATTCGTTGCTGTTAAAATTATTTTCTCTAAAACTGGTACAAAATGAAAATTGAATATAGTATCTATAGTTAAAGTAATATATTTTGCTGATTTAAGGTATGGGGAGATTGGAGCACGTTGAAATAAATATTAAATATAGGTACACATAAAAGAAAAATTTTATTTGTAATTTTTTTCAATGCAAAAGAGTGAAATTAATCTTCATTATTCGTCACCATTATATTGACCACTATCATCGTTATCACTACTCGAGTCATTCATTATTTCACAAAATTCCTCTTTATCGAATATTTCTGGTTCTTTAAGTAATTTTACCACTTCTGAAGAAAAATGTGTCAATTTTTTTGAAGGAAGTCTTCTCATCATAGATATTTTAGGATCAGAAAAGACCACCAATAAGTTACGAAAAATATCTTCCATTGTATTTCTCCTCGGGGTTTTACGAGAGAACCCTTCTCTAAATTTTTTAATGTCCTTATTTCTTGCTTCTTGAGCCTCTTCTGATAACATTCCTATCGGCAAGATGTAGGAAGAAATAACTTTAGGTGCATGCACCAAAATACTGTGTACGGAGGTAGGCATATTGTAGTGTAACCAACTGAAATAAAGAGAGACAACTTAACTAATATCTCTCTCTTTTATTAAAGTATGATAAATAAAGTGGCGGCGTGATCGACTATAAAGTGACTACCCAGACAGCACACCAAATCCTTTGGATATCTACTGAACATCCCAATATCCACTGAATGTCCAGTCCATGGTGGATATCTATTTTATATCCATAAAATGTAATTTATAGACATGCAAATGTCCATAAATAATAGTAATTATATAGCAAATTATTAAAAAATTACGCCATTGTGCTCGCCATTGTGGCTAATAGTACCGTTCAGATATTTAAAATTATTTTTTTTAAGGTGTATTCAATATCCCATGGACATCCACATATATCAAAGTCTTAGCGCGGACGCAAACCATCGTGGATAACTACTAGATGTAATTTTTGATTTTGCTTCCTAAGTATAGATGGCGATACCACTTTCGTATCTACTCATGCTCAACCCGCCATAATTGAGTTGATCGAACATTTTTTCGCATTAAGACTCTATTAGAGACTGGAGTCGAGAATTTACATTTATTGCTGAAGAGTCCTAATAAGGATGACTTTTTCCTTAGTGGGCAAACTCAAAGACAGATTGTTGGAAATATTTTTTATCTCTATTTTCTTTCGACGTTATCATTCATTTGGTTACTTATGAATGTCTACTAAAGATACCATGGGCGTCGTTACACAATTCTATAGGGGGGGGGGGGGGCAAAATTTTGAAAAAATTTAGTATGTTTATTTATTGGAAAACAAAGAAAATGAAACATAAAAGAGAATTTTCTTATGATGGATTTAATTATTCTGTGACGTCATGGCTTACTTCCGGTTTTTCCAGAAACAACAGAAAATCGCAATTTATTTTTATTATTAAATGAAAACCCTTTTTCTTATTGAAAATTTGAATTTCTGGGACATTTTTGTATAAGAAGCGTGTATTGAAAATTTTCTCAGTAACGTATTAAAAAAAATATGATCCAATATGATGATCATTTTGACAGCTGACAAAAAATTTTCAACACGTGATTCTTATCCATAAATGTCCCTAAAATTCAAACATTCAATAAAAATTAAAAATAAATTAAGATTTTGTTATTTCGGATAAAACAAGTAAGGGATGAAGTCACACACCAATTGAATCCAGTATATGAGAGTATTTGTCCCAAGCTTTTAAACAAATAAGTTTTCATTTCAATATCTCAATTAACAACGAAGATAAAAGCGGATAGAATTATTAAACGGTTTGGTAATAATAAAAATGCTTAGATACGCCACTGGTATACGGTAAATGGGTATTAATTGGAATTTTGAAGCCTTAAAAGATTTTATGAAGTTTGTACATTCCTATAAGTTTTTCCATAAACGACTTAATAGTAACATATTTAGAAAAAATATTATCCAATATGGCGGCCATTTTGACAGTTGACAGAAAATTGTCAATACACGATTATTATACAAAAATGTCCCAGAAATTTAAATTTACAATAAAAAAGAGGGTTTCCTTTTAAAAATAAAAAAAAATCTGTTATTTTCGGAAAAATCGGAAGTAATCCAGAAAAATTGAATCCAACATAAGAAAGTCTTTCAAACAGAACAAAATTAATCACTGAATAGCGAAGCTAAGGGAAAGTGGAACTGTAGTAGTAACCCTAACAATGTCACTGACCTATTTGACATACATGATGCTTAAGTTGTCATAACAAGTCTCTAATAAATAAAATAACCCAATAAAAAAATCTGATGTGTCCAACACATGACTTTCCTATCTACTTATTATAGGGTTTTTCCGGTTATTTTGTACAACCTATTGCAGCATCTCTATAAATGTTTAGAGGATAAATTAAATATATACATTGTCCACATACATCTACCTCGAAACATTTTTCTATAGATATTCATGGAAAACGAAAATACTGAAAAATTAAAATTTCCTACAATTTTTTCATTACGGTCCATTTTAGAAAAATCATGTATAAACAAAAATTATAGAGATCGATATCGCAAACAACTGTTATTTCAAAAACTTTCATAAAATTCAGAATTTTGCACATTTTGTCAAATTTCTCGAATACGGACCATTTCAGGAAATTTTTACATAAAACAAAAATTATAGATAATAATATTACAAGTAACTTTTATTTGAACAATTTTTTTCTCCAAACATTAATAACAGATATATTCCATAAAATATAAAAGTGGCCTCCCATAAAGTACCCCCCAAGATGTTCCGACTATGTCTAAAATATAATCATTTCACGTCAGGCCGAAATAAACCTTAAGTTTAAAATTTAATGTTTTTTTCTTTATCCGTTTTTGAGTTTTCTTCAAAATTCGAAATTTACACATTTTCTCAAATATCTCGAATACGGTCCATTTTAG